TACTAGTAGTTTTAAGGGATTTACAAATATATCTTCAACTCAGATTACCTCTTTGAAAAGCTAAATAATAAATGTTACGGAATTTATTACTCGCCAGAATGTAATAACTATGATGAATGTATGGACTATGGGGAAACCAAAATTTATTACATAGTACTTTATATTTTTTTAAGTTCTATACCTTTTAAACTGCTCGAACCGTTAGATGTAGGATATTTGGTCATCGTTATATAATTTAAACGTGGTAACTAATCAAAAATAAAAAGGCTATATCTCTCTTTATCTCACTTCATTAACAAAGCAAAGGTCGTTTTAAGCTTTTTTTTGTTTGGACAAACCAAGCTTTTGTCTTTTTAAAATCTCATTATATATAATTAAATAATCATGACCCATTTCACTTAATCGTTCTAATCATATGTCGTTGTTAATATAGTAGCTTACTACCAAAAATGGCTTCGATGTGTTCACTTGATAGACTAATCAAACAAATATAAACATTATTGGCATAATTGGTAATAATACCTTTTTGAAACACAATTTTCTTGATCGTTTATTTTACTCTTTTTTTTTAATTAAATCGTTTTTCTGAGGAAAAACAAAAAAGAGAATGCAAAGTCGTAATAGATATCATAATATATCCAAAAACACCCGACCGATCAAGTGACATTGCTCAGTGTTGTATTATTTATAATTTCACTATTTTGAAAAATTGTCGAATTGTTATTTTGCAAGACACTAGCAAGTTTGGAGTTATGCAAAATGGTAAGTAGAAAACGCCATTTTTCATGCATATCCCGTCTCTATCCACCGCCAAACTAGTAGCCATTCTCTAAATAATTATTTTTTGTTACAACTTTTTTTTTGAGAAAACTCTTTTTGTTACAACTTTACAGGTTTTCTTACGTATATATATATATGCGACCCATGTTCATGCATGTTTACAATGGAAAAATGGTGAATATAATTTGTGGCTTGAGTCTCGATCTTTTCTAAGTCTAAAATAAATTCTGACTATAACTAAATGTGATCTTATTACTAATCATGTATAAGTATGTTGTATCGGTATAATTAGTCATACAATAATACTCAAAATGAAATCATATTAAAGAAATGGAAATCCTGAATCGCTATTTTACGGCGACTAATGAACCCAATATGTGAAACTTGG